GGGATAATTTTTAATGATTTTAAAGTTTCAGGGGATTTTTAAGGATAATTTTAATTGATCGGCCTGTTTAAATATTTCTTTTTAATTCGGCTTTTAATTATTGTATTTGTATTGTAGTTTTTATGAGGCTGTTAGCCGCCCTGAGTCCCATGAGGAGAAGGGCGGGGTATAAATTAAATTATAAATAAAAATAAATAAAATTATAAGGGAGGTAAGGCACCTGCCGGAAAAGGGGAAAAAATGGCGGACAAAAAAAAATGGCAGACAAAAAAAATGGTGGACAGCCTTGCTTGGCGACCCCCGTGAAATGGTCGATCGACCCCAAATGGGGTCCCAACCCACAGGTTGAGAACCACTGGATTAGCGGAACTGACATTTCATTATTTGGTGTTGTATGTTTTGCAGATAACCATCAGCTCACAAACTTAGAATATTACGTATGATTCATTTTATAAAGTTTATAAACAGTGACTCAGTAAATGATGCGTAGTTGTTAGAACAGTGCTTATATAAACATTGAAAGACAAGTTATAGCTTATAGTATTTGAATAATATTATAGTGTTGTAACAACTGCTCATTTACTGAATCATTGTCTATAAATCATCTTGAGACTTCTATACACCTATCAGACTTCTTAATATCTATAAAGTACAGTTTGAGTATTTCTTGTGGTTTTCTGTTTCTTGACCTAATCTATCTTGAAGACCTGACAACACACTGGACAATCAAACCTATTGATTTTTCATTTAAAAAATGTTTATGCATTAGAACTGATAGTTCACTTGGAATGTGTGATGAGGCTTTTTCTTACCTTGGTGGACAAGGATTAGAAGAATGCAAATACGTTGAAGTGATCAAGGAAACCTTGGACAGACATCTTAGTAAAATCTGACATTTTTTGCTTGGCAAAAGTTTGACATAAAAATGTATAAAAAAATGTGACTGTAAGGCTCTTGTGAGGATGCAAGCCTAGAATGACTTGAATTGGATACCTAGACATGGGAGACATACCAGATTGGAGTTTAGCTCGCTGTGGGTTATTTATTTATTTATAGAAAGAGTACAGAGAAGAGCAACAAAGGGACTGGAGGCTAAAACATATAAGGAACGGTAGTTGGAATTGGGTATGTCTAGTTTAATGAAGAGAAGGACCAGGGGGGGACATGATAGCAGTGTTCCAATATCTCAGGGGTTGCCACAAAGAAGAGGGAGTCAAGCTATTCTCCAAAACACCTGAAGGCAGGACAAGAAGCAACGGGTGGAAACTAACCAAATAGAGAAGCAACCTAGAACTAAGGAGAAACTTCCTGACAGTTAGAACAATTAATCAGTGGAACAACCTGCCTCCAGAAGCTGTGAATGCTCCAACACTGGAAGTTTTTAAGAAGAGACTGGGCAGCCATTTGTCTGAAATGGTATAGTGTTCCCTGCCTGAGCAGGGGATTGGACTAGATGACCTCCAAGGTCCCTTCCAACTTTATTATTATCTTTGCCTTGCTTTTTCTCTGATTCTAGAATTAGAGATACATTTATAAAAAAAAAACAAAACAATTACTCATAATTATGTAAAACTGATTAAGCCAGCGGTTCTCAACCTATGGGTCGTGACCCCATTTCGGGTCGATCGACCATTTCACGGGGGTCGCCAAGCAAAGCTGTCCGCCATTTTTTTTCCCTTTTCCGGCGGGTGCCTTACCTCCCTTGAGCTTGGGCAGCTGGTGGTCGGCCTGCTCCGTCTCTGCCGCTTGCCAGCTACGCCTTGGCCGGCGCAGGGGGCGGAACCACGCATGCGTGGCGCTCCTGGGCAGGGAAAGTCCTCAACTTACGACCGGTTGGGTAGTCCTCGACTTACGACCGGTTTAGTCCTCGACTTACGGCCGGTTTAGTCCTCAATTTACGACCGGTTGGGGGTCGCAGCATTAAAAAGGTTGAGAACCACTGGATTAAGCTAAAAAAGCATTCTTTCTTATGTTCTCTTGAAAAACATTACAGGTAGTCCTCTACTTATGACTACAATTGAAACTGAAATTTTGTTCGCTGGGAAGATTTGCAAATTGCGATCACGTGACCACAAAACACTTCCAACTGTGAAAAAAATCAAGCCGGTTGCCAAGTGCCTGAATTGTGATCAGATGACTTGCAGGGGTGGTGCAGTGGTTATAACTAAGAGGACAGGGAAGCCGGAGACCATGAGTTCAATTCCCCTTTTAGTCATGAAAGTCAACTGGATGTCCCTTTGGGCCAGTCATTCTGTCTCAGCCCACCCCACCCCACAGGGTGGCTGTTGTGGGGAAAATAGAAAGAAGGTGTATTGGATGTATTCACCACCTTGACTTATTTCTAAACTAATAAAAGGCGGGATGCAAACAAATAAAAGCAAGCAAAAGCAAACTTCAAACTGTCATTAAATCAATCACTACCTTGTCAAAAGGAGAAAAAAAGAAAGAAAAGGGTCCTAATTACCAGAGGAAGGATCTTTAGAAATAGTGATTTCTCCAGACATACGATGTGCTTTCTTCCTTGCCCTGGCGGTATATTTTTTTAAAAAAAAAATCCACCTGAAATAATACCCTATCTTGGTTCTCTGCCCCAACTCCATAACATACATCTCACCTATTTCAGGACATGTTGGTTTTGCATTTCAATGTAAAAATAATCTTAAAATGAGATAAACCAGCCTTTTTCAACCTGGGTACGCTGTCAGTACTGGATGATGAAGGCTGGGGGTGATACCAATACAATGGGATAATGGCTATATGAAGGAACGCTGATGAAAGCCCTAGTTAGATTTTATGGAGGTGGAAACTTTGCACAAGAATGTCACTTTTGATAGTTGCTCTGTATTTCTTGTAATACTTGCTCTCCCCTAACAAGTACAGATGTAATAGCGGAAACTTTTTTTCCCTATCGCTGATATATCTGTGCTAAGGAAAGATGTAGCTGCCGTATTTGGAAAAAAGGAAATAGGTCAGATTTTTTAAAGGGTGGAAATTTGCATTCTTATATTCTCATATAAGATCAAAACTCCAGTTAGATTAAAAATTCATTGCTGTTCCCTACATCGAGAAAGAAATGCTTAGCAGTTGGTTGGGTAAAATCTCCTATAACAGGAAGCAATGGGCAACTTAATTTGCATAAGAAATATTAATCTGTACTTGGAACAATATATAATGTTCTTCCTCTTTTTCAGCGTGACGGAACTTCGTGATTTCTTTCTGGTAAACAACGTGACTTATTTGGCCCTGATATTTGATGAGGACAACTCCTTTTTGAGCAGAGAGGTGAATCTTAATTGATTGTTCAACATACACATCAGAGTCAGTATTATTATTGTTTATTAAATTTATATCCTGCTTCTCTACACAGAAAACATTTGAGGCCTCTAATATAAAATTAAAATAAAGACTTGAAATTGGATCAAAACTTAAAATACAGGTCGATAGCAATTAGTGTGAGTTCAAATAATACGATATTTGAATACCAGGTTGTCTTTAATGTGATCACATTAACGCAAGGCTATTGTAGTTGAGACTTACATATGTGCATTTGCAGTTGGGGTTTTAGACGCTGCCAATCTTTGTGTGTGCAAAATGGAGAAAAGAAAGATTCTGTCAGAAGAAAAGAGTACAAGTTTTTAAAAAGAGGCTTGTTAATACATTGGAGCAAAAATTTGATGTAATTGAACACATGAATGTGGTTGTGGCAATACTAAAATAGGATATATTGAAATACTCATAGAATTTTTTGTTTTTATTTTGCTTTTTGTAACTACTTTGTGTTTTTGTTAACCATAAATTTTAATCAAAAGTATGCTCTTTTTATCCTTTTTATAATATTTAATTATTGTTTAAAATTCTTCACTGTCTATTTCCATTGGGTTAGAACCAATTTCCATATTTTCCATAGAAATATCACTTTGAATAGTGCAAATTCAAATAATGTGACCACTTTTGGAATTCATTAACTGCACTAATTGAGACCCACTTGCAATCATTATCCAATTCAAACTGAGAAGTTCTGAATAAAGAGGAATGACACAGTCAAAAGAGTGGAGTCTGAATGTAATTCCAAAACGAGAACGTTCCACAGAGTAAAGACTAAGGGAGATGATCTTGAAAGAAATATGCAAGAGCTGTTATTTAGGTAAAAAAGGCTGAAACTTTCTCTAAGTCCTGGGAAGCAAGATGATCCTTAAAGTGACTCAGGTAAACACCTTGCTGATTCACTAAGGCAGGGGTCTTCAAACTTGGCCCTTTTATGATTTGTGGCACGCTGGCCGAGGAACTCTGGGAGTTGAAGTCCACAAGCCATAAAAGGGCCAAGTTTGAAGAACCCTGCCCTAAGGTATAAGGAGAGGAGGTAAAGCACAATCAGACTTGTAAAATATTGCTGCATTGTGCCTGGAAAATAATTGGCAACCAATTACAGCGTTTTCCATACAGGTGCAACAGGTGCAATGAGATTTAGATATTGGGTAACCATTAGCACCCCGTGTGCTATATTTTGCATTAAAATTTCAGGACACTTTTGAAGGCATTGCAGGCGTCAAATGAGTAATGGTCCCATTCCCTGTAACATTGGAATGACCTTTAATCAACCTGACCAGGAAACCTGCCCGAAGTGAGTTTTTAGGGCACGCTCTGATGCACAGATAAATAGGCTAATTAAACATTATTATGTTATTATAGACCTGTAACGTTTGTGGAAATAAATGAAAAGTATATTGGCTCTTCCTTCCTGTTCCTTCTTAAAAATCTTACATGGGTCAAGCACTGTGTGGGGATATGATCCCTTAGCAAATGTCTGACATATTAATCTAATCCCTGATACTGTCCACAATAACTATTATAGGGATATTTCCCCATCTCTACTGGTTAATTGTCCTGTGAAGTCTTTGGTGCATTCTGAGTTTGATTGTTGCTTGCAGATGTTTCATTACTTGACTAGGTAATATCAGTGCTAGTGAATGTGGGGTTTGTAAGACATGTAGTAGCTTGCCTGCCAGCATTGGTGGAGGTGTGATTTTCTCCTTGGTAGTTTTTACATACCATTTATTTATACACCATTCAAAAGAGTCCATAAAAATGCTAAAAAGGAAATAAAAAGAGCAGAGCGCATCCTCCCCAGCAGCCTGCACCCAGATAAGCAGGGATTAACCAGGCAAATATTCATGTAAAAAACAATACCCTAATCCAAAGTTCCCCAACTTTTCTGGCTTTGTTGACCAGGAGGGGTGGGGAGAGAGGAGATGATTCGGCGGGCATGCATGCTCACCCACCACTTCCGTGGCCTGGTCCTGAAAGGCTTAAGGCCCATAGTGAGCCATGGACCAAAGGTTGGGGACCCCTGCCCTAATCAAGGAACTACCAAGGACTAGTTGCTCCCCCAATACTGTACATAAATAGGGAGGAAATCCCACCCCCAGTAGCACTAATGATTTTATCTAGTTGGGTACTGAAATGTCTGCAAGCAAAACAACCAAGCTCAGAGAGCTCCAAAGGCCCCATAGTTTCACCTTGAACTATATATATTATCTTCTATTTGTCCTGTGTTAGGTTAAGTTAGTATTTCTGAGTTATTCAGGAAATATTTGTTTTACAGCTTTGGGGGTGCTTCCTCTTCCCTGGCTGTTGCTTATTTTATTAAAGGCAACTGCTATGCATATGTGCCCAGATATCATCTCTTGACAAGATGAAACTGAAGGAAGCAAATGGTATAGTTCACAGAACACGTTTTCTCAATATGACTAAACAAAGTAATCTTTAACTTCTAACTGGTTCATCTCCTGTGAAAGAATTTCATTTATGTAATCCACCCCCACAACCCACAGTGAAATCAAATGAAAGGAGGAAACTAGGGCAATACTTCTCCTTCTGCTGGTTAGCTTTTTTCATTCAAAGTGACTGGGACATCCCTTTTGCTTCTTCACAACAGTTACGTATGTATGGTAAATTAGAATATTATTTCTGTTTATAAACAGTATTTCCACTTAAACTAAACATGGATAACATTGACAATAGGATTTTGTGAATTTGCCCAGATTTTTGTTTTAATCTTTTTTGACAGACTAAGCGTGAACTTCTGATTTCAAATTAAGCAGAGAACATCAAAAAAAAGTCTTTAATGTAAAACCGAATGTACATGCGAAAGGATTTAAATTCCGATTCTTGCAACCCTGGCATGTGGTGGCAAAACAGAAGATTTCTCCTTGCATGAAAACGTGTGGATGAGCAGCCCCTGATTTCAGCTCCAAGCATCTTAGTTATTTCCCTCCCAATATCTCTTTTTAGCTGCCAGTTTTTCTAAAGATGGAAGAATCATTTGTTTCTGGAAAGAGGAGAAGGGGGAGCTGACTAATGGACAGCCATTATGCTGCCCTTCATAGTGCATGCCCGTGTTTTTATGTACCCTCTGGCTTTCTATGCCTATTTACCTCTCAAAGTCTGAACACAAAGACTTCTACCATAGGATAAAAAGTACCAGATTCAGTTTTGGCAGTAGAGGTATTGTATTATTCAGTATGCTTTACCATAGATCAGGACCCCAAGTGGCTCACCAAAAGTGATAGTAAAATCTTATGTGTATTATGACCATTACTGGGCTGTAACCCTCACCTAACATCTGAAGGTAAAATATAACCTTTAAATTGATGGTGCTCTCTGATGCAAATCAGTACAAAGGAGTTCCTGCATAAAAGAAGAGAAAAATAAACTATTTTTATAGATATGTTAGATAAAGTTGTTTGTTATTCTCAGTTCTTTGTTCTCAGTTCTTCTGAGTTTCCTCTTCATGGCCTACTGAGCACCTCTGGCTGCTTTATTCCCTTCAGTGAACTTTGGGATAAAAGAGGAAGCAAAGATAGTAGTTAATTGTCGCAAGTCTTAAAAGAAATAATAGGTTGTACCTATTGGCTGTTAGAAATATAAACACAAAGATTACGTTAAGAAACTTCAATTGTGTAATCATTACGCTGAGTATATGTAATGGTATTTTCCATTTCGGGATTCAAGGGAGACTTTGGCAATGGATATATCATTGCTAAAGAAATGATAATGGAACATTCCAAAGAATGTGTGTGCCTTTGATTAATCCACAAATATGTAACGCGACACTGTTTAGATGTGAATAACCTGAAAAGATTTCATTGGTAGCGGACCATGAGAATGAAGGAGAGCTGCAACAGAGTCTTTCAGAAGGTTAAATTTTCGATTAGAGGAGGGAGAAAGTAACTTCTTGCATCCAGCTGAGCAATATTGACTCGTGCCTTGTTTGATTCTAGGTAGCATTGGATATGTTTCAATATGAAAATATTGCAGTAAGGCGAGTCCTACAGAGCAATGAAGAGCTAGTGAAGCAGTTCAACATCACTACCTTTCCATCTGGCCTCCTTGTGACCAATAATGGTTCTTGCAGAAGCATCCCTGGGTGAGAAGTTATCATAGTCCTAAAAGCCTCCCTTTTCTCTTTTATCTAGTACTGTTGCTAAAATGCATAAATTCTCTGTCACCCCATGTTCATTCTCCTTGAGTTCAAGAATTCAGGCTCTTGTGACAATCCAGAGAGTTTCTGTGAGGACTTACTATCCAATTTACAATTTCTTTTAAATATGTTACAAAAATTGACTGTCTATTCTTAAATTTTGTTTCATAATTATTCATGTAAGGAATTTGCAGAATATTTATATTTTTGGAATTCTCAGACCAGTTCCTGTGTGAGGGATATTATTTAGAATTTATTTTTATTTTATTTTATTCTTACTTAGAAGGGGAGCTTATCAAATTTACAGATGACACCAAGCTGGGGGAAATTGCTAAGACTTTGGAAGATAGATTTAAAAATCAGAAGGATCTTGATGGGCTACAGCAATGGGTCCTATTCAATTAGATGTGGTTCAGTGGTGAGAAAAATAAGGTCCTACATTTCCACAGGAAAAACCAAATGCGCAGCCATAGAATAGGTAGTACCTGGCTCAACAATAGCAATAGAATGAACAAGGTGTCCTCGTGGACCACCACTTAAGTGTGAGCCAGCAGTGTGCTGCAGTTGTCCCAAAAAAAAATAAAAAATACAGTCCTAGGCTGCATCAACAGGGATAGCATCAAGTGATAGTACTGCTCTTTACTGTACTATGAACCCACACTTGGAATACATCAAGTTCTGGTAGCCACAAAAGAAAAAAAAAGATGCTAAGATCCTAGAAATAACGCAAAGAACAGCAGCAAAGATGATAAGGGGTCTGGAGGTTAAACCATATGATGAAGCATATGGTTAAGGGAACTATGTACAGTATGTTTAGTCTAACAAAAAGAGGGATTAGAGGAAATATGACAGCTGCCTTCCAGTACTTAAGGGCCAGTCACAGAGATGAGGGGATTGACTTATTCTCCAAAGTACTTGAGGGCAGGACAAAAAGCAATAGGTGGAAGCTTGTTAAAGAGAGAGCCTACCCGGAACTAAAGAGAAATTTCCTGATGGTGAGGGCAATTAACCAATGGAACAGCTTGCCTCCTGGAGTTATGGATGCTGGAGGTTTTCAAGAAAAAAATTGAACATCCATTTGTCCAGGATGGTATAAGAATCCTGGCAGAGGGTTGGACTACAAGACCTTCCAATCCTATGATTCTATGATTTAGGCATCTGCAAAAAACTTCAACAGGATAGATTTCTACAGAACTTCTGTGATCATTGTAGTAAGAGATCAGCCCTCTATATCCAGATTCATTATAATTCAGACAGCTGCATTGTCAAAACCTGTTTTCAGCCAACTGCTTGGACGTGCAAGTGTTTTCCTGTTATCCGGGTTGGGAATGATGGAAACTCCACTGATGGGAGGTTCTTATTATGTGTGAAGCAAAAATCCTGCATTTTTCTTTTGGGTGTTGCTCAAAAAGAGATCTTCTGGAATATAAAGGATTTATGTATGGAGGGTGTGGATATGGGATATGTCTTGCTAATTTCTTACTAAAGCATTGAGAGTGCTGTCATTCCAGAGAGGCACGCTGTGTTCCTCTCTTGTTATTACATCACACACACACACACACACACACACACATACACACAATTAGAATCCTCTAAGATAGCAATATCAAACCTGGTTCTGTCTAGATATGAGGAATTGTGCCTCCGATTACTATGATAAATTTTTGACTGCAGTCCTGTAGTTTAATCTAAGTCTCCCCCAAACTAGATTTGAGCAAATCATTTGTGGTGAACTCCTGTATCCTTTAATGTCATAATAGCAGATCTAGTATATATTGGATTTATGCCATCTGATCTATCCAATTTCTTGTCTTGTACATTCCTTCTTCCCCTTAATGATTTATGTACACTGACTTTTTTGTGGTTAGCTGCACATGTTAGGAGATTTCCTTTGGAGATAACATTTCATAATCCTGCACTAGTTATACTCTCTATCTAAAATAAACAGTTCTCACTTCCAATGCTGCAGTGTAATGTGTCAACACAAGTAAATTATTAATTCATTGTGAATCTTCTGAGAAGAAAGGTGATTCCCTAGTTGTGGAGCATTCAAATTTGAGCCACTATCTCTTGGCATAGTAGCTTGGAAGCTGAATTTTGAGGCATTTGTACATTTGTGCAAAACTAAATAGATATCAGAATTTTACCTTTTGATATACTCAGCAACTGTAAATTAAGTAAAGCTGAACAACTGAATTCTGAATTTTCAAACTAGAATGTGAAATTGATGTAAGGCCTATCAGATTTCATTGTAGTTGATTCATTCCATTCATCAGGAGGCCAACAGCTTTTAATTACCATCTGCAAAATTACAGCCCATAGAAAGACATAACTTAGCTGGTTGGCTCAACTTGTAAGTGTCCCAGCTGGTCACGAAGCACCAGTCTTCTTATTTCAAGTGGGACAATGAAAGGAATGGGAAATGGGCCATGCTTTTTTTTAATATTTTCTCTTTCCCACATTCTTCTTTATTTTTTCTTCTGGAGTTAAACTGCGATGATAAAATACTTAGAGCTCCTTTTCAGATTTCCCTGTAACTTTGAAAACTCTCTGAGAGCATGACACAACTAGGAAGGCCTCCACTGACTATAGTAGTGAACAAGAACATTTATATATAAAAAAAGTGTGCTGTTAGGTTTATGGAGCCAGGCTTTTAGGGGCTCAGGAAGTAGAATTAAATCCTTCAACTTCACGCAGTAGCAAATCCATAGTTTGTGCACGTTTTTCAGCTGTGGAAATAGCTGTGAGCATAGGACTTTGCTGCTTTCATCACTGCAACTTGTGCCCCCTTTAGACATAAGTGCAATTAAGAGATCTATGTGAATAGGGCAGGGTTTGCATTGCATCACTTTTGGCAGCATGCTGCCGTGCTCCCTTTAAGATGCTGCTGTGGTTTTATAGGGCACTGACTCTTTGTTTTCCAGGAAGGTAATTCCACATTGAACCCAGTAGAATTAGTGACTGAAAATTACTCATGTTTATATCGTAACTAAGCTATCCTAGTCCATCAGTATATGTATGTAACTGGCATAAACACTCTTTGGCATTAAGGTGGGCATCTCCAGGCCATGTACCTGATGCTTCAGAGGGCATTCAGTTCCATCCACAATTACTCATTTCCTTGATTTAGAAACAATTGCCTGATACTACCTTAATCTCACCAGGATACAGGCACAATGTACAGTATTGACCCCCTTCTAGTCTATTATTGCTGCTGGGCATTGCCCTAAGTCTTTCCACATTCTTTACCATGCCTTCCAATGCTTTACATAGATACAGTATTAAATAGCACCAAACTACTTTGTGATTTTCTCTGGCAAAATTATCAAGGAACTGAAAAATATTCATCCAGTGCTACCTTTTGTGATCAGCCCTGCAACTTGTAATACTCTGCCTAGTTTGCAGAAGGGAAGTTATATTTCACATTATTTGGAAACAAAGATAATTGAGTGTGGTCTTCTAAAAACCTGGCAAATGATCATCTGTGTTCTGACCTACCACCTCACATCCACCCAGCTGCTCGTCTCCTCCACATGCATTTCTAATTGCAGAAAAGTTCATTAGGAGCCAGACAATGGCTGGTTCTGAGATGCTGACAGAGAACAATGGAACCTGTGCTTGGACCCTCTGGTGAATTCCTGCTATTGAATAGTGCATTAAACAACAAGCAGATGGTCTCCCTCCTCCCCCTCCCCTACATCGCTCTTAGCAGATGATTGATGTCCACCTGGCAGTGAAGGCATTAGTGTGATGGGCAAAGGGGCATGTTGGCACTGTTGATTTCCTTAGCAAGAGGTTTACCAATGCGACGGCAATACTCACTCCTGGACCAGAGGGGAATAATTGGTGCATGTGAAATCTGTACGCTTTCTTCTGCAGTGAACTAGCTGGAGTGAGGTAACTGGCTCGCTGAGAGGCGGTCATCTTGCTTCTCTCCTGCCAGCTTCACCCAACAGGAGAGCCATTGTTTTCCTTGCTGCAGAACTGGCAGAGAAGAGAATTATTTGTGATGATGCCGACTCTTGGCCATCTGCTCGCAGAGAGCACCAGGCCGAGAAAACAGAGTATAAAGTGACTGTTCCTGGTTGTGCTTCCCTCAGGGATTTTTTTTTTTTTGCTGGTACCACTGCTTGCTGCACTAGCAAGCAGCTTTCTCTTAATTTGATGCTGCTTTGGGATGTGAGGGAAATTGACTTTGTCCAGCAAGGTTATTCAAAATTCTCTGTTTATATCCTAAGCCACCTGGTTTGTAGATAAAGGGGTGGCTGAGATTAGGCTTGTCTCTGTTTGAATCTCTCTATACCACGGGTGTCAAACTCACTGTGTCACGTGACATGTCGCGATGTATCGCAACTTTTTTTGCATTGCCGGAGCTGGGATGGGCACGGCCTCCGTATGATCAAACCAGCCTGCGGGCCAGCAGTTTGACACCCCTGCTCTATAGTATATTTCTGATTTCAAAGGGAATCAGATGAATGACAGAGAGAGCGAGAGAGAGAGCTAGGAGAATGGAAAAGAAACCCATGGACCCACCCATTTAGGCTATTGAATTCAGTTAATAATAATATTCACAATCTTTCCTGACAGCTCTTTCTTTAAATTCAGCTGACCAGATTCTAAGTGGTGCCCAGTTATAAGTCAATGTCATCCTATCAAATATGAAGCTCTAGAATACAATCTATATTTCTCTGATATTTATTAAGTACAATCCATTTGCTGAACATTAAACAGAAATGAAATGTGGATAATTTCATCTGTACATGTGGTACCAGTAGGAAATAATAATATACTGACTAGCTTCATAATTAAGTCACAGACATCCAGAGTACAGGATTGTTCTTTAATTTGTGCTAAACTGTGTGTGTGGGGGGGGAAGTGGATCTGGCAGTTTATATAAAGGATATTCCATTTTTTGTCTTCTAAATTAATTATGTAGCAAAGGCAATAAAGTGAAAGTGAATTGTTCTAATTTGGGATGAATCTGCTTGGCTTGCTCTATCCTGTTATAGCTTGTTTCCAAGGCCCATTTATTTTAAGTGTTTGCAAATACTGTATTACCTGTTTTCCAACATGGTGATATAATAATAATTTTCATTTAATATTCCATTCCTATCCTGCCTTTCCCCTTTAATCATGAGACTTATCTAGAGATAGATTATTCCAATAGCATGGACCTAATCCATATCTGAGTTTGACAAACCATTTTCAAAAGAAAAGAAAGATTATCAATAATAATAATAATAATAATAATAATAATAATAATAATAATAATAATAATAATAATAATAATAATAATAATAATAATAATAATAATAAAGTTGGAAGGGACCTTGGAGGTCATCGAGTCCAACCCCCAGGCAGGAAACCCTATACCATTTCAGACAAATGGCTGTCCAGTCTCTTCTTAAAAACTTGCAGTGTCGGAGCATTCACCGCTTCTGGAGGCAGATTGTTCCATTAGTTAATTGTTCTAACTGTCAGGAAGTTTCTCCTTAGTTCTAGGTTGCTTTTCTCCTTGATCAGTTTCAATCCATTGCTTCTTGTCCTGCCTTCAGGCGCCTTGGAGAATAGCTTGACTCCCTCTTCTTTGTGGCAGCCCCTGAGATGTTGGAACACTGCTATCATGTCCCCCCTCGTCCTTCTCTTTGTTAAACTAGACATACCCAATTCCAGCAACCGTTCCTTATAGGTTTTAGCCTTCAGTCCCCTAATAATCTTTGTTGCTCTTCTCTGTACTCTTTCTAGAGTCTCAGCAACTTTTTTACATCGTGGTGACCAAAACTGGATGCAGTATTCCAAGTGTGGCCTTACCAAGACATTGTAAAGTGGTATTAATACTTCACGTGATCTTGATTCTATCCCTCTGTTAATGCAGCCCAGCACTGTGTTGGCTTTTTTGGCAGCTGCAGCACACTGCTGGCTCATATTTAAGTGATTGTCCACTAGGACTCCGAGGTCCCTCTCACAGTTACTACTATTGAGCAAGGTACCCTCTATATAGTTACATGGGATCTTATCACTGGAAATCAGACTACCAAGATATTAAACATAGTTATGAATAACAGCTGTGAATGCAGAAAAAGTGTACAGCTTAGGGAGAGCTTATTGGTGTGTGCTTTCTGAAATTTTTAATCAGTTAGAATTAGCATGTGGAACTGATATGGGGAATAGTTGTGAGGTGAGCTATCTATTAAAAATGTGATAAATAACTAAATAAAACAGAGAAGTCTAAGTTAGCCAGTTAAGCAGTTGGAGAAAAAAATATGGGACTATGTTTCTATATATGATCTTTGCAGCAAGACATTTCTACGCACAAAGATGAAAAGACTTACAGATTCCTACAATGAAAGAATGGATAGTGAAGTCAGTGGAATGGGCTGAAATGATTAAATTAACTTCATTGATTAAAGAAAAGTCTTTGTCTAATTTTGTTTTTACATGGAAACTACTTCTTGCTAGAAACTGAAAAAAATCCTACTTTAATTTTGGGATTTGACAATTAGAAATGTTTACGATTATAGACATACTATTATTGAATTTTAACATCAGGAGGTTAATATATTTTATATTTGTAACTGTATCAAAGAAAGTTGGAAGCTATTCTTTCTTTTCATTTTTCTTTATTTTTAGCACCTTCCCTTCCCCTATCTTTTTCCTTCTTAATAATTTGTTTTTTACATTTTACTTTTCATACAAATTGAATACAGTATATAGCATATCTGGTAATAATGTGTATTGTAACAGGTAAAGCAGCAAATGGTCTATGGCATACCTATTTGAAATTTACTAGTGCAAAGTATTACATCTCTTTATTAACAGTATATACTCATTTGTGTATTTTGATGCTTAAAGAGAATTGACAGTTCAGTTTTCTCTTTTGTAATATATCTGTGGCTATGTGACCACACAGAAACGGAAGATAGTAACTAGAAAGGACACAAGTACATATTGTTAAAGTTTGTCTCCATTTATGCTTCCTTCCAGGCACGCGGATTGGAGATCCCAGTATACTAATTTTCTGCGGAACTTATCTGGAGTCTTTAGACGAGATATTTTCATACCAACGGTGTCCCCCACTGCACAGTCAACAATGGCTTTTACAGTTTGGAAGGTGGCAGACCAGTGAGTGCCAGCTTCCCTGGGTGGTTTAATGTTTCTTCTTTCCGAGTGCTGTTTCAGATGTTCTCACAATATAAGTTAAAACTGGTCAATCTCGCCATTCATTAGTTATGAGGAGTAGGGTATCCAGCCTGCCCTCCACAATCTTATAAACAAAAAGGGGGCTAGCAGATGCAAGAGCTATACATCATGGATGTACAGTGCTTTGCATCCAAAGTGGAAAAGTTACTTTAGAGGTAGCATTGGAATGTTCTCTGCACCTTTCAACACCTCCTTTAAAAAGTTACATCTTTTCCTGTGTTGGCACAGTAGGCATGCATCTCTGGAAAATCTATGTTTAAGCTAACAGCATGTTATGACAAATGTGCCACATCATTTTGGCACCTCATTAATGCCAGTGCATATTTTCTTGGGACTGAAGTTGCTGTGCCAGCCCAGGAAAAGGTGCAGCATTTTGAAAGAGGTCATGACAAGTTGCAGTGAAATCTTAACATGTAAACACCTTTTTTTTGGCTTTGAAGCCAGGTAGCTGCACATCACTGTTATACTTGCATGCATACTCATCACCTGTTCCCTTTCAAGGTAAGCTACTTAATGTGGAATGTAGAAAGGGAGTAAGCCAAAGAAATTAAATCATGAGCTTAGAAAAAGGAAACAAAATAAAGCTCAGTTTAGTTCACAACAATATCCTCTCTATACTTTTCTGTGATGGCAACTGTCTTTGCTTCTGCTATGTCCTTTCAGAGTTTGATATACTGACTTTTTTTCTTTAAATTTCTTACTTCTCTCTAAGGACCTCAGCAACTCCAAACACCCTTCCTCTTTGTCTTTCATAGATTTGCTTTATGATTTGATTTCTTATTCATTCTTCCTATATGACCAAACCATTTCAATGTACTTTCATACATATTCAATTTCATAGTCAGCACTCCTATTGCACTCATTCATTCTTGACTCTTTTTTCTTGTTTTACCACCATATTTCTTAAATACCACTTTCTTACTGCATCCAACTTAACTTTTATGTTCTCTTGACATAATGAACTCCCACTACCTTATACAAAAGCAGAAGCATGTTTTTAATACATAGTCATAGTCATTCTTGCTTCTTTCAACAGTCATTTTTCACCACAGACCACTAAGATTCTACCAGTATTCAATATTTCTCCATCCCTTTTCCCTTCTTAGGTGGCTATTGTGTCAAAAATACATACATTCATTTACTTGCTCTAGTTCTTTGGCATTTATCTATAATTGTTCATTCTCTCTTTCCTGTCAAACACATCTTACGTTATTTTCAGATCCATATTCCTTGTTGCATCACACTATTTATCTAAAAATTTAGTCTTTATTAGCTTTTGGACTTAGTACTTTTCCGTTTTGTGTACTTCCAGCCCATTTGCACTGTGCATTAACAATAACTGAAGAGAGCTGCATTGAACCAAGTTTCCAAATATTACAGATCTTAAGACTAAGATCAGTACAAAATATTACAAATAAAAGTCACAATATAAAATAGCAGCTCCACATAATTTTCAAGTTTGACTGAACATGACAATTCAATTTGCTTCATTTTTGGAAGCCTCATCAAAGTTCTCCACGAGATCTGGAACTTCTTCATCATCATCATCTTCTCCAGTAGCAAGAGGTGCTTTTCCATCCACAGATTGTTTTGGTAGAGCTTCTGCCAGTCTCCTCAAACTTGTCAAAATATCAGCGCCAAGTTGGTTTAAGATGCTAGGCAACATTTCAATCAGCTGCTTTGTCTCAGCATGGCCTGTGATTGTAAAAGTGTTAGCACCTAGTGAAGCTTGAACTTTAGGATTGTTGAAGTGAATTACAGCACCTTGGTTAGTGAACATGTTGACCTCTTCAATCCCAGATATGTTATTTACACCCAATTTCTTTAAGGAAAACTGAAACAGCTGTAGCTGTTCTGTGAACCACCTTCTTCTTTCTATGAGCAGTACCCTTCCCACCGATGCGCACTTGGGCCTGTAGTTTAGCTAATTTTTCTTGATACATGATTGTTTCTTTCATCTAAGGGGAAAAAAAGGCAAAGGGGAGGATTAGATGGGCAGAGAGCCGCACCGCTTCAGTGCTGGCGGGATTAAAGAGGACGCTCAAATGAGCCTGGCCCTGCTCAGCTCAGCCTACCTACTATTTATCTAAAGTTCACTGCAAATTCATTCTAGGTCTTGGCCAACAGAACGGCATCATCTGTGCATGAAAGAACACAGAAGTTTATGTCCCTGTTCACCATATTGTTAGTGTCACTACAAGCATTCCTTATACACATTGGCAAACCAAATGGATATTATACACCCAGGTCTCACTTTCTGCTCAATGCTAAACCATTTAGTAAGCGTTCTGTTTGTATCCACACAATTTATTTACTTTTCCCCCCCTTATTCTGGTTAGTTTCCAGCCTTCAATTCCATTTTCATACAAAACATTCCATACTTCAAACCCATTCACTTTTATCAGTTTCTCCAAAATCAACAAATGTACAATAAATGTTCTCGCAAACAGCACAGGATCTGTCATTTAAGAATTTTGCAAAGAATGTCTTAATACTGAAATCATTCTTCTGTTCAGCTGTGATTGAGTAGGGTTTTGATGAAATTTCAATTTGGGATTAATTTTAATCAAAATCCTACTCTGGACAGATAATTCGTAGAAAAGCCATTCCTGCATTTTAGAGCATATTTGGACATAGGTGGACAAAATACATGATTGAATGCAGCTCTACAAAAGTATGCACATAAAAACTGAAAGCTGGAGAGAACTGTTTCTTGAGAGAATATCCTGTTACGTTATTCTACTCATTCTCAAAGCACATTTGTACATAGACATTAAAATGGTGCTCTCTGGGGAAAGTAATTAGCTCTTCTTTCTTTTGTTCAAAATAGTTTTCATATTACTTGGAAGTCAAGCTAGATTATCTGATGTCATGGAATGAGCTACACATTCATAGTGGATTTCACTGACACCAGCTCCAATTATAATCTGGCAAGAAATCTTTAAAAACAGTAAATAATTTGGGGAGGAATAAAACAGTGATTGATACAAAGCATGAGGGCAAGACACTTAAGTATTAAAAGAAATAGAAGCTTAGTTCAAGTTGTAATTTGAAGGGGGTCCAGTCAGAGGAAATTAAATTATGGAAGTCTATTATGTGCAGGAGACTCACATTTGTGGATTTTTGGTTTTAGCAAAGAATGTGGATGTCAGTGCAAATTTATAGAAAGTAATCTCAAGAGAGATAGTGGAGGATAAAGTCTCATTTCTTTTTCCAAAGAAAATGGTTACCAGTTCAATAGCCACAGCTCAAGCTAGCTTTATGCATCTCTGAACTCTGTTGACAACTAGTGGGTCAGATAGTGCCAAAGGAGGTGTGAGATTACATCCTAGAATTGCCATTTTATGTTGTGTCAGTTATTGATATATTTTCCCCTTTTTTGGTTAATATTTGTGCCACAGGAAAAAGATATACATGGCTGATGTAGAATCTGCAGTACTTTATACCCTAAGGAGAGAGGCTGCAGTATTCTCCAACCTTGAGGGAGAGCAACTCTCCACTTTGAAGGACTTCTTGTCTGTTTTGGTCCAGGTGAGTGATGTGACACCTTTCGACCTGAGAGACTTTCCAAACAATTCCTCTCTCTTGCTGCTCTCTCCCCTTTTACATACAGGTGGTATTCAAATTACCACCATTTGTTCAGCAATTGTTTGAAATCAGTGTGACGTTAAACAAATGGCAGTTACACCTGGTCTCCCAAATTAAGGCCATTGCAGCCCCCCTGCTGTCATGTGATTAAATTTTGGGCACATGGCAACCTACTTGCGTTTATGATTGCAGGGGCACTTCAGCACCCTCTATCTGCCTAACCACCACCCCCATCTCACCCATTTTGGCTGTCCTGCACTCACTGGCCTTGTCACCTCTGCTAGCCTTGCCACGCAGGCTGACTTTTGCCCTTTTCTTCCTGCCACTGTTGATAAGGCGCACCAGGCCTGGCTCTTCTCAAGCGGGCTGCTGTCTGTGCCAGGACTATTTTTTGAGTTTGTGCCGGCCCCTTGTCCAAATTCTGTTTGAGCTTCTCTCAGGAATGGCAGGGCCAGCAAGCGCAGGGCAGTAAGGCCATAGAGATGGAGTGTAAGGCAGCCAAACAGGAAGAGAAGTGAGGGAAGACAGGTTGATGGGGGTAGTTGAAGAGAAGACAGTCTCTTACCAAAGTATGGCCTGGAGAGACCACATTGGGAATGGTTTGAATTGGGGTAGGTCTTTGGCTAACAACTAGCTAACCAAATATTATTTGGTTAATGAGAGCAACTGGGATTGCTGGGATCGCCATCACTAAGCAATGCGGTCATGAGACATTAGGCTTTACAACTGCACCACTTAGTGATGGAAATGGGCGGCAAATAAATTTAATAAATAAATAATAAAATAAAATTTGAGTCCCAATTGCCATCATATCTTGAGGACTACCTCTATATATTTGCTTTTTTATAATCTTACCAGTAACTCTGCCTTTTTAAACATAGATGAAAATGTTTCATTTGGAGAGCAAGTTCAGTCTTAAAAGTCATCCATAAGCTGTTAATATGCTCCTTTCTCTAGACAAAAATCATAATTCCCCCATTAATAAAATACTGGTTCTGAATAACCCTGTTTCTTGAGGCCGTTTACTTTTTAGAGTATTAGAGAATTTTGTGTAGCATCTCTGTGAATTTGGCTTCACTTCATTGTGTTTCCTGAACTGTGCTCATAACCCTGCAAATGGACAATTCTGCAAAAGCAATAAAAAGAGTTTTATTACTAAATATTTTTTAAACGTTTAGTTTTAAACGTTTAGTTTACAAACTAATTGCTATGGTGGACGAGGCCAGTCACATAATATTGACAGGAGACCAATTCATGGAGTTGCTCTCCAAGTCCTGTTTTAGCCTTTTCAGGATATTCCCTATCACTTCAGTTGACCTGTCTTTTTCTGGGCACGTGGCCATGCTCCTAGAGAAAGCATGGAGTTACTGCCCTATCATTTTCATTTTCTAAGAATATCTCCAGGATTGTTGGAGAAGAGTAGGCAGAGCTGAGGGGTGGAGTTAAGCATGTCATCAGTTTAGAATCCTTGAGTTGCCACAAGCATTCTAAATCCATTGCCTCCTGAATTCCATTGACCCTTATCAGGTGCCTATTTAGTGTTGAACTTTGGTTGACCAGATTCTGGTATATAGGCTTGAATAAGCTGCAATGGTCCTGATTCTTTGCGCCCGACAAGGATTTATGCATTCTTGGAAATAAAGATTATGCTTAAGGCTGCGACTTCATTTTCCAGCATGTAGTTTCCTGTGTATGCTTTTTCTTTAAATAGCACGTTTTAAAAATCTGTGTCAGCCAAAATCTCTGTAGGCAACACATTGAGAAATGAGGGCATAATATTTGTGGTTTCGACTCAATATAAAGTTTTGTTTCTCTCTTGAATATCTATACTTTATTTTAGTTGCATGTCAGGATTTCGCTGAATACCATTTTTTTAAACCTTTTTTTTCACTCCTCACTTTTTAGAATAACTTCATTTAACAAAAAAAAAAGAGCTGTCTAATAGTTTTGAACAATTGGAGAAGATAATTGGTTTTTCCAACTTTAACATGGCCCCAACTAATACTGTTTGATCTTAAACAAAACTAAGCAGGGAGGTCCACCAGAAATCCCAAGGGTCTAGATTAGAGAAATCCCAAGGGTCTAGATTAGAGAAGTCCAAAATTATCCTGAAAGAAGGCAATGGCAAATCACTTGTGTATTGTTGCCAAGAAAATTACATGGACAGAGTCCTCAGGAGCTGAGCTGGATTTAGGACAGTCAGATTAAATGGTAATATTGTATAAGATTTATTATCTCATTTCAAAGCACTTCTCTTATCTACTTACCCAACTTTTTCTACAATCCATTTCCTCAGAATGGCTGATATAAATCAGTGAATTTCTTTCCCTTTCCAAACAATGGCAGAGAAAAATTGATCATGATTAATTCATGCGTTAAAAAGTAAAGCAATTGTATACAAAAAGCATACTTGTGCCTCCATATAGTCTGAATCTTTAAATCTCAGTTCTCTGTAAATTGGAATAATAATGCTGATAGGCCAATCTATAATGAAAGAACTATTCAAGTTCCGAATTTTCATTTCTGACTACCAGTACCTTATACAATTTATTTTAAATTTACTCCTATTCTTGTATGTTTGATCAAGCATAAAACTGGGAAAAAAGATTCAAGCATTAGCAGAACATCACATTTGAAGATCTGCTTTGACTTCCTGTAAGTTTTAATGCAGTGTTTCTCAACCATGGCAGGTTGAAGATGTGTGACTTCAATTTCCAAAATTCCTCAGCCAGAATGAGGAATAGCTTGACTGACTGGGGAATTCTGGGGGTTGAAGTCCATACATCTTCAAGTTGCCAAGTTTGAAAAACATTCTTCTAATGACTTCTAAGACAGGGCTTTTCAACCTTTTCACCCATTGTACCACTTTTAGGATATGGCAACATCCGAATACCACCAGTTGTCTACAAGGTGTCAAAAACTTGATGACACCCCCCCCAAAAGGAAAAAAGTGATAAAGTACAGGTAGTCCTCGACTTACAACAGTTCACTTAGTGACTGTTCGAAGTTACAATGGCACTGAAAAAAGTGCCCCCCAAGCCACAACCGAGCAAGACACCTGCCTGCCCGCACGGCGGCGCTCTTCCTCCTGTCCGAGGTTTTCATTGTTTTGAGCATTTCTGTTGAGGATTGGCAGTGGAGGTGGGGGGGTGTTTGGTTTTTATTTCCCCCCCCCCCCCGTCTGCTGGGTGGTTGCAGCAGGTTTTGGTCACTTCACATGACCCTGGGACACTGTGACCATCATAAATATGAATCAGTTGCCAAGCATCTGAATGTAAATCACAAGACCCTGGAGAGGCTGCAACATTCCAGCTGATTGGTGCTTTTTCTGGGCTCAGCAGAAGCACCAGGATCAGCGCCGAGCTCCAGCTGGAGCCTGGTGCTGATCCTGGTACTTCCACTGAGCCCTGACAGCCCCGAAGAAGCGCCAATCAGCTGGAAAACGGCACTGATCCTGGTGCTTCCGCGGAGCCCTGACAGCCCTGCAGCTCCAGCCATCTCTCGCTCAGGCTTGTGCGGTGCTGCCACCGGTTCAGCTCATTCCCCTCCCTCGCTACCACTTTTCTAGGATGGTCGCGTACCACCTGCCAGGTGCCAATGTACCACTGGTTGAAAAGCCCTGTTCTAAGATATACCTGCTGCTTCTGTAATGTGGATATCAAGGGAAATGCCTAAATGTGTTTACAAGGCTTGAGTATAGGTTCCAAAAAAATATTATTATTTTTTTTGCTAAACTCTAATTCTTATTGTGAGAGGAGAGGAATATTGTTAGTTTATATGGATATCAAATTTATCTGCCTGGCCAGGGATTTTCATCATTTGAAACTGTACAAATCTTGGTTGGATATAAGTGTTAATAAGACATGCTCTCTGATGTATCAGATTTCCTATATTCACGGGGGCAAAACCTCCCAGTGTGACTGGGAGATTATTAAATCTGTCCTTCAAGATTGCCAAAGGAAAGGTCTTAAAAACAAGAAAAGGCCAGTAGTATTTAGGTAATTTGCAGGGTAGTAATTTCGGCTTTCTCTAATACTTCTGTATGACTGAGCTCACACACTGTAACTTTGTAGCCTGAGTCCACTATTAATTACCACCTTGATTCTTATTTCCCTTTGGCCTGTATACATTAAAAATGCTCACCAAGTCAGAATTATATGTAATTTTTGGTTTTAATTGTAGCATAAACTTTGGTCAACCAGTGTTTTAGCTTCTGAAAGAACCCGTTGCGTACTTTCTTTTTTCGCCATAACCAATTTACCTTTGAAAAAGCACAGTCAGTGCTGTATCTGGTGTGAGGTGTGCTGCTAGATTCAGGCCACAAGGTGGAGAAGTCTGACTAAGTTCCAGCTACTTAACTCATTATTAGCTAGAGAGAAGTTCCCTGAGGATGGGGCTCCGGCACAAGGCACAAGTCCAAAAGCTCGGGAGACAAAACCTCTGGTCCAGATTGGATCCTGTAACTCATTATTTCCTTGGTCTTTTTCTTGCTAGGTTTTTCCTTTCATTTACATTCCTTGGAATTTGGCTTCTCTATATCCAAAATAAAACTAAAGCTTTGGAAGTCTGTATTTTTTTTTCTCTCTCTCTAGAAGGTCCAAGATCTCAACAGGCTTCCTGCAGCCTAGGCATGCTGACTGTACTATGTTAGAAAGATAGATCTGTGTCACTCTGATTCTCCATAAAGCATGTCTGGCTGTACATTCAAATGAGCTAGTGTGTAATCTTCAGATAGAAGAGAAATTTTTGGTTCACTTCAACTCTCTGTGTGCTCATTTTTAAAGAAATAATCAAAGAAAAATCTCTCTTTCATCAACATCCATTGCTGATTTACTTCAGTTGCCACCCTGCCATTTAATACTGCTTACATTTTCTCATTGAGAAGCAAAACAGGTATTTTCCTTTTGTACATCCTCTCAATCAGTTTTCTTGTTTTCTCTGAACTTGCTCTCCTCCTCCAGTCAACCTGTCATTTGCCTGGCTTTCTTCTAGTGACATGGCTTTTTCTGCTATGTTTCTCTCCCCCCCCCCCAAGTTGGAGCATATAGCTCTTTGATCCCTCTCCTCCTCCCTGGAGTGCTTGTGGTTTTAAAGTGCTGATGCTAATCGGATTTGAGATGACTTATTGTCAAAGTAGCTTTCTGTGATCCTTGGAGACTATTTTGGACTTAGAGTCAAGATCTGGATCTTGGCTGTAAGCCCATAGGGACTGACTTGTTTGCTACTGCGGCATCTTGAACACCACTCAAAAAAAGCCCCTCTTAGTATTAGCAAGTAGTGGGCTGGATTTGAGAGGAATGCCATATAGCCCATTGGAAGACAAGAGATGAACTACTGAATTTACAAGGCAACTAGCTATTCCCTGTTTTCAATGCCCCTTTTTCAAGTGCTTTCAAGATCTGCCACCAATAACTGGACGGACAGTGCACGGCTTTTTCAACAGAGTTGGAGCTATATAGGAAACAAGGGTATGGTTTTGGCTCAAGTTACTAATTCTTGCTGACTTGTGATCTCTGTGTGATTGGACCGACAGATGTTCTTGCATTTGGCGTTAACAACATTAAGCTTTTGGTGCTAAAGAATGTCAGGGTCTGTGCCAATAACTCTTTGCAGCAACAGTTCATGGTTGTAACTGAATATTTTTCACACTGCTTTGAGCTTTATGTGTGCCAGCTAATATATTTCTTATAGTTTGAGTAAGATGGCACTGATTAGTGGTATCTCAGTGATTCTGTTGTAATAGAAAGATTGCTACAAGGTTTAGACTTCAATTGTCTATCGTGGCTTAAACTGGCTTGTCAGTCTTTAGTCTGATGAAGGCTAATGGGTCTTAGATTATTTCCTCTTAACATGCTTACAGCTTCTATCAGAACTCTGGATGGTTTCTGGAATAATATGTTTTGCACAATAAATATGAGCCTGGCTAAATATTCTATTTTATATTTGTTGAACTCGAAATGCCTGGATGAATTCCATTCTCTCTCTCCTCCACTAGGGAAAAGGGTCATATTATGTGGTTGATTACTCTTGTATCTGCATATGTCCTACTTGTAGCAGAGGTGTTTCTCCCTAAATTAATGTAACATTGTTTTTGTAGTTTTTTTAAGAAACTGAATTTGGCATGCCATCCAATATACTCTGTGTAGCCACACCAAGATACCATGCACCTATGCTTCAAAGCTCGACTCCATCTACACCTTAATCTTTTTCTTTCTATTCTTATTTTTATATCAGCATTTTGCTGGGCGGTTAGTAGTCAAGAATTACCTTTACAACCTGGATTTGTGGCTGAGACCAAAGACAAACATTTCACGGAGTGAATGGGAGGACGCTCTAAGGAACAAAAAGGAGGTGGGTTAATTGAACAAGGAAATGTTTGAAGTGGAGGCCAGATTTACTGATTAAGTCCGATTGAACTCAGTTATCTAGATTCTATCCAGAGATTCAGCTAATGTTTTTTTTTTAAAAAAAAAACCCCACAAGATATTGATAGTATTTGTTTCCAAAGCTACAAGCTCCATGTGTAACTTGCTAAATGTCATCATTATCATATATTATGGAGCTGTCCCAAGATATAAATGTATTGCAAATATATTTGAATTTCATTAGTTTATATTATGAATAGTGTAAATATTTTCTGTGATCCACAGACTGTTTTGTTTAAGTGGTTTGTTTTTTTTAAAAAAAGCAGATTCTGCCTTCGTTGTTATTGAATAGTTTAGAAAATATGGAATTAGTGCTTTTAATGAACTTCATGTTAATAGAGTGCAATTCTTGCATTTATTGGGTACATTTATTGAGAACTGAACAATGTTCATAATAGTTTAGGATTATAATTAAGGCAGAGTATTTTGCTGTATTGTTTTTCTTGGCAGGAATCCTTTTTAATGTTGTTTACCTCTGTTTTATTTTGTGTACCATAAAAATTACTCTCCAAACTATTGGTATGCAAGTGGCCAGGATGATGTAGAGGTGAAAGTGTTGTAATGACATTGAGCAGATCCAAGTTCAGATCCACCTTCTGCACAGAAGCTTCTGGACAACACTGGGCCAGGCACACACTCTCAGCCCAGCCCATCTCACACAGTTGTTGTTCTGGGGAAAAATAAAAGGAAGTTCTATAACAGCGTGTGAATGAAGGGAGAAATATAAATCTAAGAAATAATTAAATTCAGTTAAAGCATGGGAAAAGTCCTTATTGCTGTATCCCCACTGAGGCAGATAATGGTCACTTTGACTGTTATTTTACTATTTTAATGTTTTTCATGCTGCTCACCACCCAGAATTATTTGTGTGGGATGGGTGGTGAGAATGAATGAATGAATGAATGAATGAATGAATTTATTAATGGGACGATACAAAAACAGTGGGCAGCCCCTGTTCAATCTGTGTTTTTGCCAAAAAAATTTGGTAGGGGGGAAAAAGGACAAATCCTTTTTGTCCACGGTTGACACTGGATCCACGGTTGACACTGGACGACCAGTTGTCGGCCGTGACCAGGGGAGCGTTTTATCAGGTTCGCCTGATCCGCCAGTTGCGGCCGTTTCTGGACCGGGACGCCTTACGCACGGTCACTCATGCCCTTGTGACTTCCCGCCTAGACTACTGCAATGCTCTCTACATGGGGCTTCCCTTGAGGAGCACCCGGAGGCTCCAGCTAGTCCAAAATGCGGCCGCGCGGGCGGTGTTGGGAGGGACTCGTCACTCCCACGTCACGCCGCTTCTGCGCGAGCTGCATTGGCTGCCGGTAGCCTTCCGGGTGCGCTTCAAGGTGTTGATTATTATCTTTAAAGCGCTCC